TTGCTGTAAAAACAAATGTACAATTTTTATGACATAAGACGATTAGCAAAGAAGGTATGACAAAAGACAGCCTTCGTATAAAGCGAAGACCAAAAAGAATAAAGTACTGAAAGTACTGCTACGAGGTGATAGTATTGTTAGTATGTTGTTTAACATCCCTATCGATAATTTTTACTTATATGACTACACTCCACCACTTGCCAGTTGAGAGCTGCAAATTTTGTCCTATACTCGGCACTTTACGGTCATTGAACAGGGAAGGATCTTTTTTGTGCCAGCATCTACTGCAACACTGGACTTCAATTCATATGGTCTTATCTAAAGACCGGTCTCAAGGTCCCACAGTGGGATTCGAACCCACGACGTAAGGATCAAACTCCTTACATGCACTTCGCGATTCTAGAGCTGACGCAGGCGATTTGATGGTATTGAATATATGATGTTAAAATTGGTTGAAATCTCTGATCCATATTTGGGTTATGTGTGTTATGTGCAAAGAATAAAGAAGGCAAAATAGCTTTACTCAGAAACTAAGGGGTGTTAAGAAAGTTCGTTCCATGATGAAATATTTTCAAAAATTTCAAAGTAGTGCTTAACAAACGAGATGAATTTTTAAGTCTTACAAAATCAGTAGAATGTGTTTTAGATTGATAGCAATTCATGTCTAGCAGGACGTTATAGGATTTTTTCACCATATGAAAATAAATGTAAAATCTTTATAGCACCCGAATGACAGAAATGCTGGTCATTTTGAGTGAAAATATAGAATAATTTACTTTTGTTTCTTCATGGATTATTTTCCTTCAGACAGCTGATGACCATACTAAGTATAAGAATATAAATTACTTTTTAAAAGAACAGGTTTGTCATTTTGAAATTTTTTTCACTGACTTGATAATTTTTGCATAGTATTTGAAAGGATGTTTTGACCTGTGTGCTTAGTATAGTTCACAAATATATGGCATCCCTATTTTTCTACACAGACATCATCTGTTTTAATGCCAGCCCTTCCCTTATTGATTCAACAAAAGACAGTTAAAACCTTATCAGTAGCAAGAATGGACTCTGTAAACATGAAATATCATAAATTTTAAATATTTTCTCATCGTATTTCTTTTTGAAAATAAAAGAAAAATCTGGAATGAACTTTCTTAACACCCTTTAAGAGGACCAACCTTCAACAATATTGCAAGTAGGGGATTATAGCTTACAAAGAAACTGAATTAAATAATTAATATGCACATCGAATATTTTCTCCATTTTTTCCGTTTATTCCTGATCATGACAAGGAGCACACGGCGGATGTGACCGGGCGGCTGGGGATGCTTACTCCTCCATGGCACCTGATCCCAGCTCTGATTGTTTTGGGGTCCGTGTTTGCTCTGCTCTTATTTTGTATTTTTTAATGGACTTTGAGATTGAATATTCTTTGTTATCTCCATATCCTTCTAAAATTGACAAAAAATTTGACATATTCAGTGCACATCAAATATTTTTCACTTCTCGTGATTAAGCAACTCTTAAATTTCAAATCTTTTATTTTCATTGATATGCATATTACATAATCCAAAATTCTTGATTTGGTTACTACCAAATTGAAATTCAGCTTCATGTCTTTCAAAATTTGCATGTATACATATATGATATTTCCTTGATTAACCACTCGTGAAATTCAACTTCTTGACTTATATGATCTTTGATATTCAAAATATATATTTCAGATCGCCCGATTTAGCTAGTTTTGAAAATCAACTCTTTTTGACTTGAAATTGAAATGACCATTTTATATGTTTTTCGTTTGGTTTAGCCACTCTTCATTTATAGCTACTTGACACCAACTAATATGCAAATGTAATATAACATTTCTTTCAATTTAGCTCTCTTGTAATTCAACTACATGACTGTCACTGATACATTTATGCATGATTTATTTTCAATTCTTGTGGCGTTTTGACTGAAGACTTAAAATTCATCACAATGGCATGGTATATTAATTGTTTACATACAAATCTATCTACTTTTGAATATATTTGATTTCTAAATCTCTTCATTCACATTTATAATCATACATGTCACATTTTTCATATTCGTCAATAACACCCGACTTCATCTTTTTGTTTAATTCTTTGTTTGAATATTTTGTTTTGGCTTGTTGTTGTTTTTTTTTTGGGGGGGGGGGGTTTCCTCTGTACTTTTTATCAAGAAGGATATGGAAATAACGAACAGTATTCAATCTCAACGTCCATTAAACAAATATACAAAATAAGAGCAGAGCAAACACGGACCTCCGAAACATCAGAGGTGGGATCAGGTGCCATGGAGGAGTGAGCATCCCCTGCCGACCGGTCACACCCGCCGTGTGCTCGTTGTCATAATCAGGAAAAAACGGAAAAAATCCGTGGTCAATTCAGTGTATAAATAATGGACTAACAACTGTATCAAATGGCCAGCATCTGATAGCAAGACACAGCTGGAAATAGTAAAGGAAATTCCTTTCCATTGTAGCGCCGACAATCAATGAGATAAGAATCGCAGGCATGTCAGTGACTTAACTGTATTTAAAGCTTGCTGCTATACAGATCTAAATTGTAGAAGAGCGATATCGACAATACCATGACAAAATTGTATCGACATAGATCTCGATTTGTCCATTTTATTTATCTGAGGTATAACATAATAACACAATGCCACAAGTGATGTCTATATTGATTTCATTTTGACAAAGATCTTTCAAAAAAAAAAACTAAAGTAAAGTAAGAGCTTTACCAAGTTGTTGCAGCATAAAGGAAAGACTATTATACATGTATTTCAGATATAGAACATACTACATGTATGTTAGAAGGGAAGTATGCTAAATTTGATAATGATCAATGTCATAAACCAAGTTCAAACAAAATGAATAGTGAACAGGTCAAAAACATGGATCCTAGGAAATAATTTGGGATCAGATACCATGAAGGTGTAAGCATCTTCTATTGATCGCTTACAACTGCCATGAACCCTTTGTATCCGAGTTCTCCGAAATCAAATTTATAAACTGCTCAGTTACGAGAAATGTATAAAAATTATCATATAATGAGAACTTTTATCTTCATCTGCTAGGTTTAAGTGTAAATAAAGTTAAAAAAATATTCCAATAAATAATAGATTCACCTTCTGCAGTGAGGTCTGCATATGTTTCAAAACCTTTTCATCTCTTAAAATCTTCTAAGACGTTTTGTAAAATGCTTATGCATATAAATAGAGAGAGCCTAATGATCATGAAAGAGGTTAAGCCTAAGTTAGAAACTTAACACATGTTGAAATGATGTACAGTGTAGAAGTCAAATTATTCAAAATAGACATAAAATTAGTATTGCAGTAACTAATGACACACTTGCATGTATGATTTCAGATTGAATATTTAATTTAGAACTTTTGAACAGCGCTTTTTAAGGATGGCCAAAGTTGCTGGGACATTTTACGAAAATTCCCGAGTTTAAAGGGAAGAGATGGAGTATACCCAATAAAAGTAGCCTCTTACGTAAGGCTTGTTTACTGTGACATGAGTATTGATGGAGGAGGTTGGACGGTGAGTAAAACTGGGAAAAATTGCGAAAAATAGAGAACAAGCAAACTTTCACAGTGGGAAAAGTGAACGATTATTAAAATTTCGAATTCTTTTCCTACACAAGAAAAATGTTAAATTCATGCATGGTTGTCAATATTTTTTTTAAAGATATGATGCATGCTCATGTTCTTATTAGATTAGCTGAGAAAAGTTTTGATTATGATGATTTAATATTTCAAAGGCAATACAACGAAGACAGGACGGTTCTACAGACTTTTATCGGACTTGGAGCGAATACAAACAAGGATTTGGTGATCCATCTAAAAATTACTGGATTGGTAACATTTTTGTGTCAATTCAGGATTCAGTATTTCATATATGAAATCTAGAGAGGAACAAGTTTATTTTTCTTGACGAACAGCTATTCATATCCAAAAAGGAATAAGCTTATTATTTATGACGAAGGCATTTCTGAGTAAAAACTCATTCCATCATTTTACATAATTTTGTATTTTTTCTCTATCGTTTGAAGAGAAACAGCTTAATATAACAGAATATCCTGCTGATAAATAATAAATACATTGCAATTTGTCAAACAATAAGTTTAGCCACCCGCCTGGCGTAGTGGTTTGTGCGTTTGCTCTAGAGTCGGAGTATAAGGAGTTTATCTTTCCGTCACGGTTTAAAACTGGTGCGGTACATGGAAATCTGTCCCTCGGATGTATAAACTGAGATCTTTTGTTGCAATAGGTACTGGTATGACAAATAGATCCATCATTGCTCAATGGCGCATATACCATCTCCTATTTCTAAAGCATAGGTTAAGGATAGGGAGATACCGAACAGTATTTAATATACACGTCCCTAAAAGTGTACAAAATAGTTGCAGATCAACCACGGACCTCCAAAACATCAGAGGTGAGATCAGGTGCCATGATGGAGTTAGCATCCCTGCCGACCGGTCACGCCCGCCATGCGCTCTTTGCTATGATCGACACATTTGTCGTCATTTCAGTGTATAAATGATAGACTAACAATTAGTATGAAAAGCGTCAGTCAGCATTTAACTCAATGATAGATGATGACTTTAAACGAAATTGCTGATATTCTTGCTTCATGAACTTGTTTGTCAATAATTTACTTCGGTTTAGAAAATGTTCATACGTAGATCATGCTCTTGAGTATCGAATCAACTAAGATATATAAACTCCGTGTGCAGGTGATGGAGGTATATTGCTGCATAACTAAGGGAAGTTGACGATAGAAAAGTTAAAGTCATCACATGTCTCATAGAGCTTGGTTGTTAGCTTACCACTGACGTCTTTTTCAGGTAAAATATCCAAATATGAGACAAATTTGTGAGACTCTGTGGTATCTTTTATATTATGTCAAGCTCACCAGGATATATTGTATCGACATAGGAATGGAAATCACCATTGTTAATTGACAATACGTCATCGATATAATTATCTAAATGTCGAGTTGAAGGCCACAGCAAGTGTTTTCTTCTTTTCACACATAAAATTTTGCACAAATTCTGCTTGATATGAATTCAAAAACTGTTCGGCGACATGTGGCGGATTCTAAACAGGAGTGAAATATTCCCAAAAGAGACGAAAACAAACAAACAAACAATAAGATTAATCATAATGAGTATGTCAATAAACGTTTAGAAAAAGGTAGTCATTTATTGACAGGGTACGGGATGATACCTGATTAGTAAATTTCATATCTGGCGAGGCGGAGCCGATTCAGGTACGAATTTTACTTACCAGGTATCATCCCGTACCCTGTCACTTACAGACTATGTAACAAATTTACCCAACCGATGAAACATTAACGTATTTTCTGTGGTTTATTAATGTTTTCTCTGCAACATGCTTCATCACGCTTATACTGTGCTTTATATGACGTCACATTGTGTAAGTTACGTAATACATCGACTGGGTATAGATTTACAACTGACCGGGTATAAGTAATCTCCCTCCTTCACGTGACAGACTTCAACCAATCGTAAGCCACGATTTCATGGAAAAATCAATAGCAGCGGGGTAAATTTATTTCTTTTAATAAAGTTTAAATATCAGAACATAATTATAAATATTAATTTTATGTTTGTTATATTCTCTGAAAAGGAAATGACGCAATATATGAGCTGACAAAGAACAAGGACCACGTACTCCGGGTTGAGCTACAAAGTTTTGATGACGCTGAAGCATACGCTCAGTCCTCTACATTTTATATCGCTGATGAAGACAGTAAATACAAACTCACCGTTTCGGGGTATTCAGGAACTGCAGGTATTTTTTTTTTAAATTTCTTTTTTGTTTTACAAACTTCACATATAATATATGTACAATTTTTACGTTTTATACATGATTTGTATGGTTAGAAAAACCCACTCAGAATGACTTTTAAAAATCTTTATTGAAACTCAACTGTTATATATAGATAATCTTTAATTTTTATGGAAATGTTAACGCTTTCAATTCTCAAAGCATTTAATTTTATTGGTCATCAACTTATTAAAAATACTTACAAGTACCCGTCCTTTATTTTATACATACATTTTAACACAGAATACTTTCAAACAAAACTTTTTCTCTAGAATGTGTTATATATGTAATAAGATGTATGAAGTTTACGTTTGTTTTTGGAACGATATATAAATTTAGATTCTGTACACTTTAATCCGGAGTAATAACAACTACAATGGAGGATACTATAATAAATTAGCCCTTTGCTATTATAAGCAGGAATTACTATCATTATCAAAATTTTGATACAGGTGACAGTTTGATCTATCGTCATAATGGTATGAAATTAACAACGAGAGATAAGGATAATGACCACTGGTCCGGTGGTAACTGTGCTGTATCTAATCACGGAGCCTGGTGGTACAACCGCTGTCACGAATCTAACCTGAACGGACTGTACGCCAAGTCTGCCGTGACGGCTAGTATATTCCCGATATGGTATGACTGGAAAAGATATGAAGCACTACGAAAGACTTTGCTCATGATAAGACCCCAAAACTAAATTAACTGCATGATCAGTTCTTGCAAAGAATGATATTAGATTTTTCTTTTATCGTACAAACATTTTATGAAATAAATAATCGATAGTTAGTTGTCAGTTTCATTAAAATTTGTCAGACCAACCGGAAACGCCACCAAACTCACGTTGATGCTATTTCATGGCTGTTTTCAGAAAATTGTATTAGACTCTTAATTTCATGCACGATACTTACTATCCGAGTGAATTCTAAATATAATTTACGGACGTCAGCTTGTACGTAGTGTAGTATTAGAAGAGTAAGTAAGAACTATTGTGCACCAGTTTCGGAGTTTATTTGCAAAAGAATGTTTCCACTAAAGCATAGTGCCGTGGCCCCTTTTTCGGACCACTCTAACTTTATCTAATTAACTCAAATCTTGATAGTTTTACACCTAACCGATATTCTGTTATCAGTGTGGTTCATTACTTGCAAAATTTTTTATTGAAAACGACGTTTTACTTTTAATTAAGGTAATTAAAAAAGCCCTCTAGTGGATGTTAATTCTGGAATGTTGCGCTTGTGCAAGTTTGGTTTTAACTGTGTCACATTGATATTCGGAGTAGGCGGGGCATTTTTTCGATCGATTGAACACATGTAATCTGTATTAAGCCAGTTATAATGGCTACAAAATATGCAGAAAAAGCAAATACAAGGAACATCTCAAGCTTTACGCCAATTTTTTTTTTTTGGGGGGGGGGGGGGGGGCTCAGGGATCTTTCGCAATTTTTTTAGTCGTTTCTAGGTGAAAATTTAACACTTCAAATAAACTGATAAAGGAAGCCTGCAAGTTTGTAAATAAAAAAGGAGTAAAATCCCACTAAAGAAAAAAACTTCTTTTGTATTTTCTACAAGATAAGTGTCTTATAGTATTTAATAAATATCAAACTCTCTCTCTCTCTCAGTACTTTTAAAAGTACAGTAAATACTATGTACATATACTGGTGTACATTTTTTTTTTGATGCGATGCTGCGTGTGGAGATATTTTATGACTAAATCAATTGAGTAATTAATGTATGTGTGATTGTTTTTTTGTTTGTTTGTTTGCATGTTTTTTTTTTGGGGGGGGGGTCCTAGAAAGCATTCGAGTGTTAAACCATCTACGTACTTCTATACCCTGTGTGCATATAGTAAGTAAGTAAAAAAAACACTTTGAGGAATGATGGTATCGCGACGATCGGGACTAAATCTCTTTGAAATTCTTTGACCCTCCAAACGTGCCCCCTAAATCTAAGGACTAAAATTAAATATCATTACATTTTGTCAAATTTTATATTCTTTTACCCAATAAAAAATACTAAGGCGAAAAAAAGAATTCGATGTTGATGAATTGAAAATGTACATGTAACGGTATAAGTTGGTGGCTTTTCGATGCAATTGTTTTCAATCGGAGCTACAGCCACGTGATTTATTGATTTTTTTTTGTATTCACCAAGTCACCTTTGTCTACATAATCACGTGATATATTGGTGGCTAAACAGGTTACAATGAGGTTCAATGAAATGTAAATACCCGTAAATAGCGTATTTTTAGATATAACATCATTTGTTGTTTTGTAAAATTTTTTAAAAAAGTTTATTTCCCGATTAAAAGAATGAAGCAGGGACGATGCCCAAAATTCTCCTTTAAATATGTTGTATTTCCAACATCTCTACACATAATTTGCCTTGCTTTTCAAATTTGGTTATCACAGCTTATTTCTTTTATATCATTTAAATCCAGCTTTGAAGATAATTCAGGAATAATTTTATGAAATAACAATCGAGAAATTTCATTAAAATTGCAGTGTGAGCCCTCTTACAAAACACAGCTGCGTTCTTTATTTTTACTAACTTTTATTTCCTGTAATTTTGCAAAATTGCGATGAAATCTAAATATAGTTTACGGACATCAGCTTTATGTAGTGTAGTATTAGAGGAGTAAGTAAGAACTATTGTGCACCCGTTTCGGAGTTTATTTGCAAAATTTATTAATTTATAAGTATAGAGTTAAGGCTGCTTTTTCATAAAAATCGAAATCGTAACTTTAATTACCTTGTCCTTAGTAATTTGGAAAATTATTTTCTTAAAAACACTCTGATTGTAAAAACGGGTACTCTGAAGTTGACATTAAAAAGAAATTCTGATGATAATATAAATCCGCTTTTTGGAGCAAAGGTCTTCCAAAAATTTATTATAATTACCATTGGTAACAGTTGTTTTCCATTTTTAGCAGACTTATTTTTGTATTCATACGAGGCAGAATTGGTCAAAAATCTTATTCATGAAAAGAACAAAATACTTGATGCGGCCTTCAGCTCGACATTTAGATATATCGACCACGTTTTGTCAATAAACAAATTATTAGTTCCATTATGATGTCGAAATGATATATTTGTGAGTTTGAAAGAAAGATACCACAGAGTCTGACACATTTGTTTCATATTCAGATGTTTCAGATGAATAATACATTATCCAGCGATGGGGTATACGATCGGCAACTAATGAGTTTTTGATAAAAATGGCATGGTTGTCGGACGGACTTACTAAGTCCCAGCGATGCATTCCTTATCATAAAACAATGTTCCAGGGTAATCGGCCGATGTATATTACATCGCTCATACATTGGTGAATATCGTTCGTACGTCGGTCGACTATGTTTGGTCGAACATTGACCAATGATCTGCCGATGTCTGTTGCCCACATCTCAACCCTCCGATGATCTTAGATTGAACGGACACTTGACGATGCTCGGACATGCATCAGCCAATCCTTGAAAGATTTGTTAATGATGGGTGGCTGATGTGGAGCGATGTGGGGCATCGATAGAGACATTGTTGATTTTAAACTACGAATTATTTTCTACCGGTGACTCCACCAATTCGCAAAATGGCCTCAGTCACCGTCCGATTACTAGTGGTGTCCAGCCAGCAACCACACCATTTTCAACAGAAAAACGCATCGGTTTCTCATCGTATACACCATCGCTGGATAATGTGACTGATACCTTACTTATGCATCAATATACGACACCTGCAATAGGGCTTTATATCTCTCAGTTCATTTGATACTCAAGAGCACACTCTACGTATAACGAAGTAAATTATCGACAAACAAATTGAACAGCAGTTTTGTTGAAAGTTATTATTTCCGACGTACTATGGTCAATACAATGATTAGGCGTCTGCATACATGTATGAATAAAAAATTCTCGATAGTATCGTTAAATAGCAAACAATCCATCAATGATCTTGTCAGCACTTACAAGTTATCATTGACTCAAATGCTGACTGACGTTTTAAGTCGTCATTTCGTAAGTTCTATGGTAGATACAATGACCTTGTCAGCAAATACAATATAATCATTGAGTCAAATGCTGACTGACGTTTTTCATACAGATTTTTAGTCCATTATTTATACACTGAATTGATGACGAATTTTACTGTTATTTCAAGATCATGACAAGGAGCACACGGTGGGGGTGACCGGTGGACACGGGATGCTTGCTTCTCCGTGGCACATGACCTCACCTCCAATATTTTGGAGGTCCGTGTTTAATCGATATTATATTTAATCGATAATATTTGTATTTTTTTATTGACTTTTGATCTTAGATATAATAGTTCGTTATCTCCATTTGTTTCAGTCCATTTATTTCATGTTCGAAACAGCATCGTCCTATATGTAGTCGACTGCGTGTTTTGTAGATATTAGGGTAGGTCCGTACTTTGAATTTGAATACCTTGAATAACTCAAACTAACTAAAACACCAATAAAAGATTTATATTTGAAGGTTAATTTTCACACAACATCTCTCAGAGTACAAACCTTTAAAAAGTCAGTATTCAAAATTGAACATAAAGAAGTGTTATATCATATTTCATTTGGCTATGCAACAAATCATGTCAAATCATGTCAACTTTATGAAAAATTAAAACTTAGGAAATTGAATAAAGGGAGATTTGAAAAGATAATATTGGCTTGAAATCAATAAAAATAACTCATATTTATGTCAAAATCATATTTAACCAAAGACACGAGTATAATTCAATATTATACAAGATTCATAGATTAATTGCATGGAACGCCACCACTTGCCGGTGGAAAGCTGCAAATTTTGTCCTATGCTCGGCACTCAGGGACATTGAACAGAAAGGATCATTTTCGTGCCAGCACCTACTTCGACACGGGACCTCGGTTTATACGCTCTCATCCCATGAACTGGCCCCCGCGTCCAACGTTGGATTTCTAACCCAAGACGTACGAACTGACTCCTAATTTCGTGACTTTACAGCAGAAGCTTTAACCACTGCGCCACGCAGGCGACAGATTCAAAGAAGTACAACATCTAGGAAAACTAATAAAATGAAAATATAAAAAAAAACAAGAGGCCCATGGGCCACATCGCTCACCTGAGAAGCTTTTACCATTCTGTTCTTTACCAGATTTCCCCCTTGTTATACATAATGCATCCCCACCCTACCCCACTGATCATAATTTAGACATTTTGAAATATACACTACCCCATGATCCTTCCATGGGCACACATGTTTCAGCTTTTTTGGCCCAGTGGTTCCTGAGAAGAAGATTTTCAAAGATTTTTCCTATATATTTCTATGTAAAACTTTGATTCACAAAAATGGCCCCGCCCTTCCCCCGGGGGTCATGATTCCTACAATTTAGAATTTACACTACCCCAGAATAAGCTTCACTTTTTCTAAAAGAAGATTTTCAAAGATTTTTCCTATATATTTCTATATAAAACTTCGTAATTATTTGAACAATTTAATATAAGTTTCAGCTTTTCTGGCCCAGTGGTTCTTGAGAAGAAGATTTTCAAAGATTTTTCCTATATATTTCTATGTAAAACTTTGATACCCCATTGTGGCCCCGCCCTTCCCCCGGGGGTCATGATTCCTAAAACTTAGAATTTACAAAGAATGCTTCCACATAAGCTTCACTTTTTCTGGCCCAGTGGTTCTTGTGAAGAAGATATTCATAGATTTTTCCTATCTATTTCTATATAAAACTTCG